TTCAAAATTACAAAACTCTCTTACTGACAAAAGGATTCCCCTGGAAAATGATGGCGAATAGCAAAATCTGTTATTAATTGAAAAATTAAAAAAATATACTGATAATCCTTTGGAAATTAATGGCGAATTGAAAGTACATCCTTTAGATAAGTCTGAATCATTTAACTCTTTCTTCACATTTTTTACAACTGATGAAACTAACTAATATGCCTCCTTTCCCCCATCAACAATCAAATATTATGATTACTCAGCAAGATGTGTGATGTGACCAGCTCCATCTCATTAATGTAAAGAAGCCCCCAGGCCCTGACTCAATTCACCCTAAATTTATCAAATGTGTATCTGAATCACATGTTAAGCCTTTCCGCATTCTTTTTAATAAAACTCTGGAATCTGTCGATTTAACTCAAATCTGGAAACATGCTGATGTTACTGCTATTTTTAAGGGCAAGGGGATGAGGAGTAGTGATCCATCTAATTACAGACCTATTTTTATCACACCATTTTTTAGTAAAATGCTTGAAAAGATAGTTTTGAAATATCTATTCAACTATCTGTCAACAAATAATATAATTTCTAAAAATCAATCTGGATTTCTCCCCAAAGACTCTACAGTGTACCAGTTATTAACAGTATATGATACAGTGCTTAAACAACTTGATAGAAGAAAAGAAGCAAGACTAGTTTTTTGCGATATTAGTAAAGCATTTGACAGGGTTTGGTATGATGGACTTGTATATAAATTAAAAATGTATGGCATTAAAGATAATGTGCTTAACTGGCTCTCTAATTACTTTATCGGTAGGCAGCAACGTGTAGTAATTAATGAATTTCAATCTTCCTGGAAGACTTTATCAACTGGGGAACCACAGGGCTCGGTCCTCGGTCCATATTTATTTCTTATTTATATTAATGACTTAGAAAATGAAATTCAGTCTAATGTCACTTATTTTGCTGATCATACTTCATTATTTGTGCTAATAGATAATGATAAAATAGCTGCTGCTGAAATTTTAAATACTGATCTTAATAGAATATCTATGTTGGCAAATATATGGGGTTTACCTTTTAATCCCAACAAAAGAGAAGCCATTCTAATTTTAAACAAACATACTACTGATGGACTACATCCTGACCTTATATTCATTAACAACATTGTGGCAAACGTAAAAAAGCATAAACATCTTGGAGTTTTTCTTAATTGTCATGGTTCATGGTCAGACCACATCAATTTTATTCACGAAAAAACATATAAAACTAGAATTATGTCAGTGAGACATTAAAGCCACTTTAAATTTAATTGCTTCAGTAACACGTTGAGCATCAATATCTACTATAATACCTCAGGTATGTGTTCGGTATTTTGCTAATTGAAAATCAGGTCATGTGATGATGCTGCCTTCGGAATTTCCAAAATCAATCAACACTTAACATGCCTTACAAACATTTCTCCCGCTCCTCTTTTTTCACCCTCTTTTGTGACGCATTGTTGTAACTTTCATTAATTAGCATCCTCCAATGATGTGACATGAGCATTTACGTGCAGAATGGCAATCGGTAAATGGGTAATAAAGAATAGGTGCATTTTACACCTTTACTTGACATTGTACTCCTTTTTTATTCATATTAATAATAATTATTCATATATGTAGTGACTTTATTTACTGTCATTGAATATACAATTCATCACAAAATCTCACAAATGTTCTTGGAATATATTTGAATAATTTTTCTCAATGCGACTTTACCAACGTAAGAGTTATTTCCCTTACACCGGATTGGATAATATTTTGACACAGCGTGAATTCTTGTCAAACAGCAGCGGCAGTTGTGTCATGTTCCTAAATTGTTATATTTTCATAAATAAATACATCAGAAATAGCATGCTGTGTTACAGAAATGTTTGATAAGCATACACAGTTCACATATAGTCTCGTCCGCGGTAGCAACGATGGTTTATTACCGTTATCAACCTAAGCACGATACTACGTTCCCGTTTGAAACATCAAAATAGAGGTTATACTTCATCACTCATACGGTTTATAAGTATATATATGTACTTTTTCCTTGAACTGACAAAGGATAAAAAGCTAGACCGTACATACAGCGTCAATGCTTGACAGTCTTCACATGTGCTTTCTCGAATCAGAGTCACAAAAAAACACTCCAAACGCTCAAACCCAGTGCACGAATTTCACCACCACAACACTCGTAAAATGCACCGGAGATAAACATTTTGTTTTCAGCAATTATTTGAAGTCTGGATTATTATTTGGAGAAGAGTATCAGAAGACTATGTAACCCACCGTTGAGTTTCAGAGATTCTACTTTCTATTTACGACAACGAAACTATATTGCGGAAGCATGAACGACTGAATTATGCGCACGCACCCCGAGCGGAAGTGGGTCCGTCATTTAAAGAGCGGCTTAAAATGAATCTGTTCAGATCACTTAAGCAACGGTTCGACAGGAAATCTTTGAAAATAATATACAAATCTTATATTCGTCCAAACCTCGAGTATGCAAGTGTTGTGTGGATTAATTGCAATCAGACAGAATCTGATCTTCTTCAATCCATCAAGCTAGATGCTGCTAGAATAGTTACTGGATTATGTAGGGGTACTAGTCATGCAGTCATTTATAATGAACTAGGATGGGATACACTTAAGAAACGCAGAAATGACCAGCAACATATGTTAAATGTTTAAATAACGAACCGTCATAGCCTAATTATCTGTTTGAAAACACTGAACCTTATATTATAAACAATGACTTAGTGACCCATGATATTCGACATCAACGTATACTTCAAACACCCATTTGCAGAACTACATTGTAGTATATATCTTAACATTTTCTTTCCTAGTATGATGTCTCGGTCGAATAGATCCGATTGTTATTATTATAATTTGAGGTCGGTAATGAACTTAAAAAGCAACTCGTCCATCATGCCATTCTTCCTAATGCTGATGATACGTGTACAGATGGTTTTAAATATGGAGGGACTAGATCTTTTAACGTCATTTTGTGTCAACTTAGAAACCATGCAAGTCTATTAAATTCTGATCTGTTTAGAGACCACCTTACTAATAGCCCATCCTGTAAATGTGCCAACCATGACAAAGATGTGAATCACTTCGTTCTATACTATAGGTATATAACGCAAAGACAAAACCTATTAGATTCTCTGACACATTCGCAGCTTAACATTCAATTAAACCTACATTTAAATCTCGACTTAAACCTGATTGAACATTTAGTAAATAATATCAATATACTAACTAGGGGAAGTAACCACTTTAGTCATGATCTTAATTCTGCTATTTGTGTCTGTGTTCAGAAATATATTGAGTCTACTAACAGACTTTGAAATAACTGTTAATTCTAGTCACAATGTGTATGTATACATGTCTATATGAATACTCCTCCAACACGGCTCATGCTCTGGATTGGTGGTGTGTATGGACATTTTAGTGCTGCCCAGTTATAATTGTTATCTGGAGCAGGAGGGGTGATGGAGGACTAGTTGGTGTTACAAATTATTCAACTATTAATATTTGATATTTACTGTATTGAGTGGAGGTTCCAGTTTTTGATATTTATATATGTTGTAATATTTATAAAATTTGATTATTTACAAATGCAGTATACACACATGGCTTTCTATATATATATATATTATATATATTTTATATATACTGGTTACTAAGTGAAGAAAAAATAATAAAACAAAAACAACTGTATTTGTTTTACCTCAGTAATTTTAATGTTTTTAATTTTTAATTTTGCTTAGTTCAGAGACAGATAGGAACTATTAAGTACTATTTAATGTTCCAAGCAAGTGATAATATGTTGATATCTAAATTATAATTATGTTATTGTTTGAAATGTATGTAACCCAAGGGAGAGAGCTTGTATAGGCATAGCCTGTTGCCCAATTCCCATTGAATCATTTGATTTAATCAAATATTTGGGTGTTGGGGTGTGGGTGTGTGTTGGTGTTGGTGATGGTGTGTTGGTTTGTGTGTCCTATGTTCATCATTTTAACTTAAACTATTAAACTAGTTAGCTAGATGTTGGAAGATTAAAACATAAAATCATTTATATTATAAATTATTTTCGGGACCTATTTCATTTTGATGTATTAAAAACTTTATATGTCCAAAATATTGAGTATGGTTATAATTAATGTAAGACTTCGTAATCCCATTTTAGTTTAGATTAGTTTGGAAAAAAGGGTTCAGTAATCTGTGTTTATTGCCAGATCTTGTTTTCAGACTGTACGATACACGATAATTATTTTGAGACTTAGTAACTTATTACACAATAAGAACCCTTCAAACATCTAACCATTTTCACCAGGCAATTCCTCTATTAACCAATTATTTCCAAAGATTTCATGAAGGCATTTGATTCAGGTAAAGAAATAAGAGTAGTATTTTGTGACATCAGCAAAGCATTTGATAGGTTTTAGCACATAGGGCTGTTGTATAAATTTATCATCAATTGGAATAACTGGATCGCTGTTAAAATGGTTCGAAAACAAACTACTTAACGAATAGAAAACAAAGACTAAATATCAATAATATTCACTCTGATTGGGCAGGAATTAAGGCTGGAGTTCCACAGGGTTCAATACTTAAACCTTTGGGGTTTTTTAATCTATATTAATGACATAGTCAACGATATCAATTTTTTTATCAAATTATTTGCTGATGATACTACTCTGTACATGATAGTTGAAAACCCCTTAAAAACAAACAACAGTATGGAGTCATATCTACTAACGATTACTGTATGGTCCAAATCTTGGTTAGTTGATCTCAATCCTAAAAAAACGGAAGGTATGACCCTTGGCAGAAAAAACAGTCAACCCCATCCAATCTTACATATGTGCAATGAAGAAATATCAGAGGTACTGTTGCATAAACATCTTGCAGTTATTTTTTCTAATAATGGCAGTTGGGTTGAACATGTAAAACAAATAATTCAGAAAGCAACGTCTATATTAAATATTATACAATCTCTAAAATTTAAACTCGACAGGCAAACATTACAAAATATATATTTTTCGTGTATTAGCACACTTGTAGAATATGCTGATACTGTCTGGTATAAAATTCCCAAAGAATGTATTTCTAAACTAGAGAATGTTAATTTGGAAGCTGCTAGGATTGTTTCAGATGCTTCTAAACTTGTAAGCTTAGACAAACTATGTACAGAAGTTGGATGGAATAAATTAATAGACCGTAGACTCCATCATAAATCGTTACAATTCCATAAAATGTTTTATCAAAATACTCCAGACATTTTACATAAGTGTAACGACACTTGTTTTTGTTTCCTTTTCTGTTCTATAAAACATGTACTTCGATGTATTGTCAAACAAAATTTGAATAAAACAAAGTTTAAACCAAACATCTAACCTTGATATCCAACAAGCCCTGCACCTTCGCTATGGAAATTGTCCATGTTTTTTTTTATATGTTTTGTGTATGTTGTGTGTATATGTGTTACGCGACTAGGCCACCGTGGTCGAGACTGTGGAGTCAGCCATATGTGACACCGAATCGTAATGTGTGATGTTGAATAACTAAAGGACGAAAATAGCCGACGAATATTTCCTTAATTGTTTCCATCTCGTAGAGGAATTTACTTCACACAACTCGCGAGAGGGTGAAAAACTACAAAACGAAACAAATAAAACACTCATAAGATTACTGAAAACTAACTAGGTCAAACAATGGTAATTATCTAAAACTGACAAAAAATGTTCGAGCTAAACAATAGCCATTTTACTAGTACAACTCAATCATATCATTTTGTCTATTAGTTAAGGCTTCTTTTATATGAACAGTATGCCATCAACATTACATACATAGTAAAATTACAATTGATCTATACCACCGAATAATAAATTAGACAAGACCCTGTGCTAACCAGATCCTTCAAAACACAACACGTCAAATACCAGACAAAATTATGGCTAGTTGCACGATATCATCTTTACTATCATTCATATTAATACAGTTGGTACAATATATAATGAAGTATAATGAAGTACAAAATAATAAAATATACTATTTGACTACGTTATTGTGTCGAGCAAACAAGCAGACGACACCGATTGAAATCTTGCGGGACTCACCAAAGCCCAACAAAACCATCGGATTTACCAAACGTACAGAATGAACAACTGCATATAACATAAAAACTGGAATCAAAGATACATTATGAAATAAATCATAAGGTTATTATAAACACTTACTCCTTAGGGTGTGTTTTGACTGCTGAGATGAAATACATTTTTTTTATCAAGCCATGTTTCCCCAATACTTATACCAAAATTACCCATACTTACACCAAAAGTATAAACTAACATAAGCACTATTACTTTATGAGGGTACGAATGTTACGTATCATATTTAAAGAACCATGGTTCAATTACAGTCCTTTCTGTGTTGAACAATTGCTCTGGTTGACAGTCATATCCGTACAAATCACAGTCCGGTTGGAACATTTTACTAAGCTTATCTAAATCTTCCCTGTCTAACGTGGAGTACGCCTCTTTAAAAGCTTCTGCTTTGTTTTTTCTTGCTTTGGACCGTTTCTCCGCATTCCCCATCGCATTATACACAATACTCATTAGTTTGGTCTTTGTGAGACCCTCACTCTCTTCGGTAGTGAGGGGAAATTCCGATTCTTTTGTGAGAACACCACGGATTTGAAATTGTTTCCAGAGTCTTTTTTGAGCCTCATAGAACGTTACTTTACAATCATTAGCATAGCTATCCCGGAAATAAAATAACCAATTAAACTGGTCTACTATTGTGTCGTTCAAATATTGCTCTCGAAAATCCTTGTTTAGGGATCGCATCAAATCTGTTCTACCTATGCGATCCAGAATATAGAAAATATCCTGAGAAAGGCTGTCCAAAGTACCGATCACCTGCCATTTGTACCGACAAGGATCACAATGCTCATAAGAAGGGGTAAAATGTCCATTTCTTTTCTGGTTGACTTCATCTGCGTATAAGACTGTTTTTACAAACTCTTTAAATGTTAAGTTATGTCCACATTCAGTTGATTCATTCCGCGTAACGTGTACTCCAAAGCCGCCATATATTTTCCAGAAGAGCAAATTTGGTGAAAAAAGCTTATCTACATAGGCTGATAACAATCGACCGTACGGCTCACGGACAAACATAAATGTTAGGGATTCCTTCATGAATCTATCGACCATGCCTTCCGGAATACTAGTCAGGTTATTGAAATTAGCCAGTGCAATTACTGTGCTGTCAAAAGGCGATTTAGCGTGTGCTTCACCAACCACAAGCTGAAAGATGAAGAAATAGGTGGGTTAGTGTCAGTATAGAGTATTGGATGGATTAAATGAAAAACTACAGTAAGCTCCTTATTTTCATGTACTCTTTTCACAAGAATAAAAGTTTAACTTTTTGCATTATCAAATCATTATACTTGTATTGAATCAGCCATAATATCATAAATCGTTCATTCTAATCTTAAATAATAAATATATTTTCGTTGATCTTAACTCCAATTGAGAAACAAATAAGCAATTAGATACATTATAGTTCATTATATTTCAGAATTAAAGTGTCTTTGCATCATCCTAAAACCACACAAATGAAAAACATCGGTCACAATACTACTACTGAAACATGATACGGTATTTTGGTCATGACGCTTTTAAATGTTCAGTGTATTGAAGAATACCACAACCTCAATATGCTGTGTTTTGATGTAAATGAATATCTGTAATAACTACAAGATACATAGTCCGTTGCGATAGCGAAACAAACACAAACACTCGGTAATAATCGCCGGACAAGTTTGTTTTTTATTCCTTCTAAATGGTAGTCACACTTAAAAGCGTTCATACCATGGTTCAGACACTGACAGCATCCTTATTGCAAATGTGATTTTAAATACTTTAAAAGAAACCAGCGGCTCGGCAATTAAAACCAAACATTCTATTCCTCAATTTTAATGTACTTAATGTTAGCCCTAGAATTAATAACTAAATACAATGGTTTATTCTTATGAAAATAATAAATATTGTATTGTATTCTCATTGATGAGTATTCGTCTAATTCATTTGGCAAGGTTTTGAAAACATTTTATTTAATAAAACTAAATAATCCTTTACCCGCAAAACACGTTTCCAGAATGTCGAAGCAATCTTTTCTACTGGACAATAGGCTATTCCCAACACTTGATCAATTATTATATTGTTTTTCACATATTTTGCTGTTTTCTTTCCCTTCATTTCAGCCTCACGACCAACACATGCTTTCAACATTCGGTTTCTTCTTTCTTGATACATTGCTTCCATGTCAGAGGTTACAAATGAAAGGTTCTTCTTCTACAATCGTAAAAACGAACAAACAAGGAAAATATTCCACAGTGTTAACAATATGACAGAATGTATTACAGCGACAACACAGAGGCACACAGAACTGAAGGTCAATAACAACGGACAACAGAGAGAATCAAGTGGACGAATTACCCGACGGTAAGACATCATCAACGTCCAATTGTGTCAGGTGTGAGACAGTGTATCACATCAAATGTAAGCCCGTCTCTCGGCTAGGAGCTATCCGAGAACCTGATCATGTGTTTAAACGAAATCAAACATTTGTGATTAAGGTCGTCATATTTTTGTCATACGTTTTAGCAAATATTGAAGCAGCTGGTGTGCGAAAGAACAGTGAATCGTTGGGGATAATTCTATATATAATAAAAAGGTTAAACATGTCATCGTCGCGGAACGTTACTTTTTCTGACTTTCATATTATCAAATCATTGGTATAAAATACAAATTTAGATTTATTTATCCATCTTTTAGAAACAAGATGTCCCTGACCACATAGCCCAATCTAATGTTAGATATATGACATGTAGCGATTTGAAATGGATTTTAAACTATGCCATGAAGAACTGCAAGAACTCGCGTGTTCGTACAGTACAAGCCAGTTTATAGTAAGGCTGCTGTCTAGTGTAAACGTAAATAAACCATAAAAGCATAATAAATTACTATCCTGTGCAATTCAATATCACAACCGATACATGTATGTAAAATAAACATTATCTAGTTACATCGAACCCAAATTTTAGAGGCGATAGCTACTCACAACTATGAACTGTATATTGGCCAACATTCACGAGGGTTATACTTTCGCATAATTTTGCAAACGCATTAAAATGCGTGAAAGTTCCAATATCGTGAATATTGTAGATCTCGGCAATAAAACATTACCTGTGTAAGGTAAAGCTCATTTGTAGACAGTGAATGGGATCTTGTAACGACGCTGATTTGGGAATCGAGCACTAACATTTTCATCTTAAATCGCTGCTCAAGATTTACACTACCACAGATGGGCACAAACTAATGAGTATCTTAAAGTTCACAAGAATCGTACGCCAATTCAACACATCGGCTAACGACATACAATGGAATTCAATTGAAAACAACTTTATCACTTATCTATTAGCAAATAAATGTAACTGCCGATGTCGGTTTTTCATTCATAGTAGCGAATAACACTCGTATCGAAGTGTTACAGAAAATGGGATTCGCGAATAGGTTCGAAAACAAACTAGCAGACTTTAACATCCTAGCAAAATTAAATAGCATAAAGGGCTAAGGAATACAAATTCCATCCTACCGGTAGTACTTCTTGCGTAATAGTCATTTGTACATTATAAGTACTTCCAACCCTCATACCTGTAGGCATGTTTGAATGTAACGGCTTTGACATGGTTTTGTATTATAATTTACTAAATTTTAGGACTACATTACCAACAGTCTAAAAAAGGTATAATAGAATATCTTTTACACAGTAATAGAATCCGCTGACTTCTTAAATTTAAACTTATCCTAGGTCACAATCATATCCAAATAGTCACAACTGCTCTTTTCTATAGTTAAAAATAATGTTATCAATTGCAAACTGCTTTGGAGAAGGTAATATTTGGACGCCATTGCTTGAAATGGATAATACAAAATTGAATTTGGGATGGAGGGATCGATCGGGATTAGCAGTGGACCAATAGAAATATCAAAATATTTAAAGAATATATGCTTAATGCATATATTTCTATATATAGTAGTCTTTCCATAACGGCTACATTACAACTAATGTTCATTTAAAAATCCTTCTTTTGCCCCATTTCCCAACTCCTACTCGTGGTCAAATAAAAGGAGTGCAGTCACGTAAGACAAACATTCCTTATATTAAAACGTTTATACAGAAAACGCTTACCATAATGGAGCGACTGGTAAGTGGGACCGTTTGGAAATAATAGAACACAAATCAGAACTTCTCATCAAAACATTGACGTATGAATGTCGTAGACATATAACAAGCATAAACAGAGGGAAGTAATGCATAGATATACAAGTATCCTTTGTAATATCATTACATATTTTAAAATTCAATTTACAGGGATGTCATGATGGCAGGCTTGGGTTTCGTATTTAAAATGATAATATCAAAGTGTCCAAAAACATCGAACTTAAAATCGATAAAACCAGTGATAAATGTGAACAAATGAAAGATTCACACCGATACCATTGCAAAAACATATCTGGAGAATACGACTAGTTCCAGAGAGAGTGGGCGTCTTCTGCTTCATCAACGGCACCCGACATGTAAATATAAGTAAAAAAACAAGTAATGAAACGTCCTCACATCGGAAGATCAGGTGGTGTCAACATAACCACAAGGCTCGACATTTATCACAAAAGTGGTGATATTCGGAGAATTCTCTTTAATACCAATTCAACTGCGACATGTAAACATCGTCCATTGGAGATACAGGGATGTTACTATCAAAAAAGGGAACGTTTATTATCGGAATTCGAAATCGTCCCGTTTATCGTACAGATAAATATTAAGCCGTTCCAGTTAGTCATGTTGCACGTTAAGATCGAGGTAAGAAGCAGAAGAAGACGAGTCTGTAGTGTTCTTGGTTTAAAGTATTCAACTTTAAACCCTAACAGATTTCAGCCATTACCTTCAAGTCCTGTATGTTTTTGTTATGAAGGAAACTAAAAGTCTCAAAACTCCTGCGTCTTTTGATTAATGAAAACTGCCATACTACTAAAAACAATTTCTTACATAGAATCTCAAAATGGATGAGAAACATTTTTTTTTGTCATATTTGAACTAATGTATCTGATATCATAACAATAGAGGAATTTGATAAATTTAACTTCGAAATCTTTGTGCAGCCATTTTTTTATTTACTGATGATCCGGATTGTTATTTTTATCAAACTTGCTGAGTTTTCCAAAAGTATGAAAAGCCATTATTTTTTGTTAAGGTAACACTTGTTTTTGTGTTTTGTAAACATTACATACCACGTTTGCATCATATTTGTATTGCCGACCGTCGTCTCGATCATTGATACATTCTGTAATACAAATATAAAGTTACAAGTTACACAACGTATACGGATTGACATAAACGAAATGGCAACGTAAAGGAACACTGTGGATACATAGTCAACAGGTAATACCTAAGATGTACACATGCCTACTGACCAAGAAACATTTCTGACCTTATCTTGTATAATAAGCCTGCATCAAAACCAGTGTATACATTGGCTTCCTGGACATATTTACCATGAATCGCTAACACTACTACGATTCATGACATATGACCAGAACCAATGTTGTTATGACCTCCTTCACTAAAAATATTGTTTAAATCATTTTTAAGTAGAATCGTTCAGTCATTGTTTGTTATATAGTTAACTTGAATATTGTTCCCGAAATGCGACGGTGTATGTATGTATGTATGTATGTATGTATGTATGTATGTATGTTTTACGAAGTTCAGATTGATATCTTATATTTAGATTAATTTGTTAAAAATCAAATATAAATATTTACTTTATTACACCAGAAACTCATTAGTACAGTTTGCTATTATTTGTAGATTATTTTAGCTTAGTATTCAAAATTGATTCTAAGGCTAGAAATATTACACACACACAAAAATAGAAAAGAGAAGAACAGTTTTGAAACAGATGCCATTTCAAGCTATTTGTTAACAATTTTGCGTTGTTTAGTTTGTCCAGTGTCATAAAATTAATATCGACTGTCAACCAACTACATGTTTTTAAAATGAAATATGACTAAAACATACCTGTCCTCTTGCCGATATCTTCTTTAATGCGATATTTTCCAGTCACACTTGTTAAAATGTATAATGAGGTAAGACACATTATTAAACAAAGGACAAGCAGATACCTTCTTATTTTGTTTCTCATTCTGAAAGCAATCAGTTTCCGTCCAGTATCTGTTTTTCTTGAACTTAGTTTGCTGACTGCGTATGCATAAGCGTACACTAAGGTTCAGCGGATCAATACATGCCTCAAATATGGCACCGGACTACTTTATGATTCAGCGTGATTGCATACTCCCATTTACACTAGACCACTAAACACGAAACACGAGGTACAGAAAATAAGAAAAAGTACATTCATAAAATTGTTAATCACTCCGAAAAAGAATAATTAAATATAATGAAGTTTATCCATCAAATTTTGTGTCACGTGTTCTACCATGTCGATTTCACACACAATCACAGTCTGAACAGGCTGCTGACCGTCATTGCTTGCTTCCTACAACAGCTGTTTATCTTGCAAATATATTCGGGATTCTTCTTGTCAATTTATACAACAACAGGTATGCGGAAAACTTCCATGGATGCATTTCCAATACAGGCTTCGTTCCGGAACTTTTGTATAACATCACTATCAATAATGCCAACAAACGTTCGAGTGACTAATCAAGTTCATAAATTGAAAATTTAAATTAGCAAAAGTATAAAAATGTGTTTCGCTTTATGTTTTATAAATATACTCATATTACTCAGATTGACTATTTAAGTGTAGTAACCAAAGCTACCGTTGTTACTATTGTAGTAACCCATTTCGACTGTGTTTCTTTCGTTCAGCCTTTGTCTTTGTGGGGTTTAAATAAAATGCGCTCTACTTAATAAGTAGCTGTCAACTTCACTCATACAACATTATAAGCTCTCAAAAGATCTAGAAAGGCTAATGACCCGGTACGAAGCCCGAAGACCCTGCGTACACACACCCGCATGTGACTGCAGGTCAATGCGTGATATAAATTAAGCGACTAGTAATGACAGTCGTTGCAGTAATTGTTGGCTTTTTTCGGTATAACTGTATTTTTACTAAGTCACGTCTGAGAAGAAAACCAGTTAGATGAGATCACATTCAAAGGAAGTTATTCAATTGTCATAATGCAAACCAGAGGATGTTTCTCTTCTGTAAGTACAAATCGCTAGATGGAAACTCTGTAGTGTTTCGTTTACAGGGGAACAGAGATCCTTTCCTAGAATTGGTTTGACAATTTGTTTAGATGTCCAAGAAATTCCTTCGCTCCGTCCTAGATCTCCTTCAAAATGTCGATTGGTCATAATGATTGGTCATTGCTTATAGGTTATCGGTAAGAACCTTGCATGCGTAATTTCACCTTCCGGTTTACAGGCCTCCTTTACCGTCGATACACAAAACCTGTTCATTGAATATTATCTACTGACGATTTAAACTTAATGCATCCAGCTTGTTGTACATAATTATTGTCTTTGTGTATATCTTATATTTTACGTACATAAATTTCAAGGTTTCGTTAGTGTCGAAGTTCTGAAATTAACATATGCGATTATATTATCTTAGGGTATTTCAAGTTCCGTTTTGTCTGATTGCAAGGTTGCAACATATTTGAACTGTTTGAAGCAGTATCTATGGATTTACAGATTTCGTGTGTATTTTATAAAATACGAAACATTTATGTATGGGGGATTTCGTATGTTTGATGGCGCATATAGCATATATAATGAGTATATGTAATGAGTAAATGAACTAAACGAACTATAAGCGTATGTTTTTGTTGCTAATCGCGGTCGTTGTGTACGATGCATTGACACTTTGCCCTGGAAGTGAGCATCCATGGAATATAGAATTCGTCAATATCTCCGTTCATGTATAAAAAGACAGGATGTATCTCGAATATTTTTGTTGTTGTCCATTTGTTGTAAGAAACCATTAAATGACTATCATCTGATTGTTAAGAATGTGTAAAGACGTATGAAGGCGGCCGGGGAAGAGATCGTGGAACAACGTCAGATGAATATTGTTTTATATGTGTTACTGAATTATTGTTCATTTTGAATCATCATCCAGTTTAGATATATATATTTAGACAATTAGTTACATGTGTAGATGTATGATGCGATATCGCTGAAGCAAGAAGCAAACATAGAAATAGTCCGGCGCTTAGAAGCATGAATCTTGAAGAAAAATTAATAGATTTTTTTTTTATTTTTTTTTTCATTTACTTATAAGTTTTTTTATTCTACATTTTTTTACCCTTTTTACAGTGAGATATCATCACTGGGAGGGTTGATAAAATACTACTCCGCCACAATCAGTGAAAGTTTACATACATTCTGGTTCGCATAGCATTGTGACATATCATCCGACTTTAAAACGGAACACAACTATAAATCGATAATGGAAACAATTATTTATATTTCAATAACATTGAAGTGGTTATACCAATGCTGGACATCGGATAACGATGAAACCTCTGAGTATGCTTACTGGGCCCCTCGTCAGGTCGAGTTTTACGTTGCATGGATCCTCAAGTTCATATGATGTTACACAAGAAACCAGAGAGTAGATAGGATTTGATTAATAAGAGAACCCGCTCACTGACTTAAGACAGGGCGTTGTATTGAAATTTCTCTGGGCACCATATCTAATTTGGTGTCTTCCATGTCCACTAAGAGATCAAAATAATTGCCTTTTACAACATGCAGTGGATACTGCAGGTTCATTCTTTCGCCGAACTCCCTGAAATGTATTTTAATGAACTCTTCCTTAGCAAAATGTATTATATTAATATGTATTCATACGTACAGGCAATGTTAATCTTGTCAATGGCATCGGCAAACGAAACAAGAAACATTTCGTAGTTGCATTGAGTCCAACCTGAGTAGAAATTGATGTATTTAAACATATCAAGCAACATTTTAGACTTAACGAAACGCTCAATTACATTACCCTTCAATTACAAAACGAAATTCGGAATTGATACAGATATTAACTTGAAGTCACAAAGGTATGCAACATATTTCACCAACGCCCGATGGACACCCCAATCCCTCTAGCACTAGAGGCCACATGAATGAGTTTTACAAGCACTGCATATATGCTACCGTGCATCGTTAAAATACAAAACTCAGAATCCAAGCATTAAGGAAAGCTAACAACATGTTATATATTTGTCTACATTTCCATTCCAAAAGGTGTATTTACCCATATGTTACCAGTATAACACAATAAGCTTAGTAGTGCAGGGTGTGGAAATAATTTCACTTTTCAGATGTTTTCAGTTAAAGCATCTTCAAGATAAGGTCGATTTCCTTCCGATCAGATGTACAATAATACACGTGTTATATATCAGTGAGGTTGCCTTTTTAGATTACTGACGCATAAGTAACTCAATCATACATTTTGAAACAGCAGAATTAGTTATTATATAAAGCGCTTTCAGAAATTGTGTCAGTCTGTCTGAACAATAGATTGATATCAATATGTAGTGTGTGTATTTATGTAGGTAATTTGCTCTGACAAATCGATAAAATAATTAGACAATACTGTGAATAGTCATAAAGATAGCAATAGACAAATTTTAAAGAATCAGAATTACAAATTATTTAATTTTGAAAAGTTATGAGGACTTGAATCGAAAAAAAAAATGCAAAAAGATCACCTACATGTAGCCAATTTTACCAAAAATAGTTCATTAGAATGTAAAATAAATAAATGGACCTCCACGTTTCAAGTGATGAACATATCGGAAGGAAAAAAAAAAGCTTCATGAAAAGTTACGTATTTCTATCGTCACATATTTAAAGCAATTTTCTTTTTTCTCATCAAGTTTACAAGTGCAGAGAGATATGAAATATTATATAATGACATAATGTACAGCCATAATTGACAGATTTACAATTACTTGTATTTATCAGAAATAAAGTGTCCCTTTGATTACAAACAAGAGCTGGCAGAGCTTTCAAAATTGTACTATGTTCTGGTATTCATAAAACTACGAATGTTTTTACACAGGCTCATTTAATTCATTGCAACAAATGTGTTTTATGCCTTCATGGATGTCCTCTATGTAACAGGACAAATTGGACTTTGGCAAAATTCGGGAAATATTTTGTAATGGTTGAAAAGAACAGCTTTCCTGAAGCAAAAGGGTGAATATCATTAAACTAACAAAAATATGAATTTATCAGCATTTCATAACATATATACAATGCATATAAGGAGTTTTATTCATACGAATAATTACATGATTCATATAAAAATACGATATTGTTATATTCCTTATTCAATACTATGCAATATGATGCATGATGCATAATTCTGTTGACATTAATGACATTGAATATGGAAAGGTAATTTGATAAATGATTAAAATCATATTGCATAGTAATTTGGAGTCGAGTTGACAAATGTCATAACTCATCGAAAAAATCGTCGAGAGTTCTATGTTTTCAATCAATACTATACTAATTCTTTCAAAATACACTAAAAAAAACTGCTGGTTTTATATATTTTCTTTGTATTTCCATATCAATGACATCGAACCCGGTTACATTGAAAACCCGGTTACATTGAAAAAACATTTTTATTGACAGGTTTAGTACGGCAGCTCACCTCGTCTCACTCGATAAGCTTCAATACAAAAGGTGTTGTTATTTCGTATATGAAGGTTGAAGGCTAAGGGACATGACTTACCCCAGGCCATTCAGAAAACGAAAACAATTGACAATCGTGCAAAACTGAAATTTTGCAAGTTATATACTTGCGGTATTATGGATTTTTCCTGCAGATTCTTCTCACTACATTACGAGGGTATAACTGGATCACGGAAACGCATATCATTCACATTAAATACTCCGAGATATTCACTATAACCGGATGCGACTGTATGTGTGATGCATGATATTATAAAGCAAACCAGATGTACTAATTCACTAGTGATTTACATTTTATTATAATTTCTGATATCATATCATTGACTCAGTTATCAACCTTATTCCGTAGTTTTTTCTTTACACCTATTACAAACTACAATGTGAACTCGTCCGCTCAATGCAAATATCGCATTTCATAAAAAGGAAGACACTTACAATCAGGAAATATTCCGTATTTCGATATGGTGTGTCCATAAACTCAATTTCAGGGTTTTTCCTTTTAAAATCATAGTACCCCTATGTTGTAATAATGGACATTTTTTTTCGTGTCATACAGCTTTTGAACAATATGCCGGTAACAAATTTAACAATAACGAGACATGTTTATTTGTGTATCCGGGCGTAATAGTGATAAATGCCTGAATGCATATCTATTTTAGGTTTTTTCATGTCCCCTTAGAAAACATGCAGTGGCTTACAGCAGGCTTATTCGTTTCCCCAACCTCATGCGGTGTACGTTAATGTAACCTTTCTTTACAAAATGATCGATCTACACCCTCTTCATAAAAAGTCAAACTTAAATTCGT